TAATTTTTTTACTTAGTTAAATTCTTTAAACTTGTTGTAAAGGTTAATTTTTGTGTAATTTATTTAATGTGTATGATATTTTTTTTATTTGAACAAGGATTAATACTCATAATTTTCATGGTAGTGAATTCAATAGAGTCACTTTCACATCTTGAATCGATTCTAAAAAAAGCCTTCAAAATAATGCCCAAAATCACATTAAAAAAAGTTCAATACAAAAAAAAATTAAAAAAATTACAAAGTCCCTTTAAAGAATTCATACATCAGATAATTTTAAAGAGTTTCGTCTTTTGTGATAGACAAATAAATGACTAAGATCGCACCATACAAATCGACGGTTGAAATCGTACCAATTCAAATCCAAACATTATTTATGCATTAGATAGTTTTAAAGAATTTTGTCTTTTGTGATAGACAAATCGATGACTGAGATCACAACGTACAAATCAACGATCGAGATTGAACTGATTCAAACCCAAACATTGTTCACACATCATATAACTTTAAGGAATTTCGTCTTTTGTGACAAAAAATTTAGACAATTGAGATTGCACTGATTCAAACTCAGACATTGTTCATGTGTCAGACAACTTTAAAGAGTTTCATCTTTTGTGACAGATAAATAGATGATTGAGATTATGCCATACAAATTGGCAATTGAGATTGCATCGATTCAAACCCAAACATTGTCATGCGCCAGATAGCTTTAACAAGTTTTATCTTTTGTGATAGAAACATAGACGGTTGAGATCACATTGTACAAATCAAAGATTGAGCTAATTTAAACTCTAACATTGTTCACGTGTCAGATAGCTTTAAAGAGTTTCATCTTTTGAGACATATAAATAGAGGACTGAAATTGCACCATACAAATTAACACTATTCACGTGTAAGACAACTTTACAGAGTAGGGGCATAACAATTCTATGAATTAGATTAGTCTTTTGATTTTTTTTACACAACACTTACTCACTATCAAACTTCAATATACACAACCCTTAATCCCTCAACCCTAAACCCTTAATCCCTCAACCAATGTTCAAAATTATGGCCAATTCTAAGAGAGAAAATATATTTGTGTACTACAATGGTGACATGATTATTGATGAAAAAGTAAGGACATTATATAGATGCCTTCGACCAACGTCAATAATTGTGAGACAAGGCTTGTCATTAGAAGAGTTGAAATATAAGATTCAGCAACAAATCCAAATTACTCATACCTAAAGGGTTGTTGAAGTTTATTTTCGCCACCCATTATCTGTTGGCGATTTTTATTTTAACTATAGGTCGATCCTCCTTAGAGATGACAAATACATCCAAATGATGTTTTTTGCTAAAGACAATTAAAATAATCTTGGATGCATTAAGGTAAATGCAATAGTAGAGGATATTCTTGAGCCTTCAAGTTTTCAACCCAACTTTTACTTCGATGGATATTATCCTTCTCAACAAAATTTTGATTTAAACGTACAATGCATTGAACCACAACTTGCCCCCATTCACACCAAACCTAAACCTATTAAACCATCCTTTGGATGGGAAGGAGGTACATCTTCCTATGCCTAACTCCTAACTATTGAAACTTTTTCTACCTAATTTTTGACATTCTAATCACTAAATTTTCATGAAAGTCAAACAAACATGCATGATGCTAGTCATCATGACTTAGAGGCAACCACAAAAATCTCCAAGAGTCTAAGAGCAATAACTTCAAGTGGTTGGAATAAATGAAGAATATGTTGTCCCCTTTAGTGAACATGAAGACAATGTGTTTATGCGTCATGCTAACAATGATGATGATGTTGAAGAATAAGAAGAAAATGACAACAACGTTGTAGGCCCATCATTTGCTCCGAGTATGTATAATTTCCCCCCTCACATGCTTCAATTGAATTTGGATAAGATACATGGTAATGATGCAAAATTCATACACTTATTGGATGGTGAAAGTATTCCACCTGAGGTAGAAAACTTTATCTATTGGGCAACAATTTCCAAACAAAGATGCGATAGATTGTGCAATCAAAGAATTTCACACCAAGAACCATGTTGAATACAAAAAACAAAAATTTGATACAAGATAAATAATAACATATTGTCCTAAAGAGGGATGTAGTTGGTATTGTAGAGCATACCTTTGCAAAAATGGAATGAGAGATTTATTCACTACCTCATCCACATACATGTGCAGTATAGATGCTTTCTCAAGATCATACAAAGTTGGATTCAAAGAAGATTTCCAAATACATCATGCTGGTAGTTAAAATGAATCCAACGACTATAGGGCCACTTTTGATTGAAGTAGTCACAGATAAAGTAGGGTACACCATCTCCTATTCAAAATCATGGAAAGCTAAGCAAAATGCATTTAGAAACTGAGAAGAATTGTACAGGTTGTTGCCAAAATGTCTTCAAGCCTTACAAATTAATGTTCTTGGAACAATCATCCAAGTTTAAACACACCCAATCCTCAAAAATGATGTCTTGGTTGCTGGAAAAAAAAGATTCCATCAACTTTTCTAAACTTTCAAACCATGCATTGACAGGTTTTTATATTGCAAGCTAATTGTTCAAGTTGATGGAACTTGACTATACGAAAAATACGCGAGGACTCTTTTGCTAGTTGTGGCTCAAGACGAGAACAACCACATAATACTAATAGACTTTGCCATCATTGAGGGTGAGACCGTAGATGTTTGGTTCTTTTTTTTGAAAAATTTAAGAAGGTAAGTCACACCCCAAAGTGGACTCTATTTGATTTCAGACAGATATGAATCTATTAAAAGTGTTTGGTTCCTCTTTGCATGCGTTTTGTATTCAGCATATTGCACAAAATTTCATGAGAAAATACAAGAATATTGATCTACGCAAATCTATTATCAACATGGTAACTAACTAATTCATCTACATTATATTTTTTTTATGTGATTTGTCATTATGTTAACAAATATTATATTATGTGTTGCATAACTCCTCAAGATATGCATTGACATAAAGCATGTTCCACCATTATTATAATGATCTTCGACATGTGAATCCAGATGCTACAAATTGGATTGATCGTATACCTAAGGAACAATGACTTCAAGCATTCAATGGATGTCAACGATGGGGACACATGACAATTAACCTTGCAGAGTCCATCAATTCAGTATTTAAGGGCACTCAAAACTTGCCAATAACATCATTGGTCCAAGAAACTTACTTTAAGCTAGCTAAATTATTCGTTAAGAGGAGGAAGGAAGAAAATGCAATGCTTTAACTAATCATGAATATCGAGAAATTGTAAAAAAAAAAAAAAAACTATGGATGACGGGGTGACAAAATCAACCTCTCATAAAGTTAAAATGTTTGACCAAAAAATCAATCATTAATTGTATCTAAAATAATAAATCCACATGAGGGTGGATGACCATCAAAGTGATTCATGGTATTCCTCCAAACACAAAAGTGTGATTGTGATAAATTTTAAGCGATACACGTGCCTTATTCACATGTCATAACTGCATGTGCATAAGTTCACTTGAACCACCTGTCATTCCTTTTTCCAATTTGCAAATTACAAAAATGTTTTTAACGTATATATTTCTTTGTTTGGATTATTGTTTGATAAAAATGAATGGCCAAAATATAACAGAGATTAATGGTATCATGATCTTAAAACGTGAAGAAATTCTAGAAGTCGTCCAAAGCTTATTTGCATACACATTGAGATGGATTTGACATAAAGGGTCAATCTAAAAGATGTGGTAATTGTTGAATTGTTGGACATTCAAGAAAAAAATGTCCACAATTACAACAATTATGATTTATAATTTTTTTAATATATTTTGTGTTTGAATAATTAAAAAATTAAAAAATTTATATAACTTTTTTTTATAATTTATATTATTTAAATCTAATTTATCCTTTAAAGTTAATTTATACTTTAAACATTTTTTTAACAAAATCATACTTTTTATTCATTTAAATAAATAAATGTGTATATATATTAAAAAAATAATTTTCATAAATTAAATTTTTAAATAAAAAATATTATATATACACATGTTAAAAATATATTTTTATAAATTAAAATTTAAAGTAAAAAAATTATAAAGACCTTTTAGAACCAATTCAAGACGTGAAATTGATTCTATTGAATTGATTAAGATGAAAATTATGAGTATTGATCGTTGCTCAAAAAAAAAATATACACATTAAACACATTACACAAAAAATAAACTTTATAACAAACTTGAAGAACTTAACTAAGTAAAAAAATGATTATCTACAAATTTTTATAATATTTTTGTAATAATTTTTATTTTAAAATACTTTAATAAAAAAATTTAAATTTACATATTTATGATTTTATAAATTAATTAATTTATTTTTATTATTTTTAGTATCTTAAAAATATATTTTTTAATATATTAAAAATACATTTATAGAAATTAAAATTTAAAATAAAATAAAAAAACACGTTGAGAAGTGGAGTGCATCTTTTTACGGTATAAAAAATTGTGACAATGCTACAAAGTTGTGTCACGTGACGCACGAGTACCTCGCATCCTTAGAATAATATTAAATTATTAATTCTTAGATGCCATGCCACCCTATTGAATAACTCTAGTCTAACTAAAAATACTAAAATTAATTAATATTGGATGTAGATCTGGAGCCAGAAAATTAAATACCGATAGGGAGGACCGGAGCAAATTCAGCGGAGCGTTAAGCCATTCTGGATAATACACAATAAAAGTTTCATTTCGTGTTCATATTAATTTATTTTTAGAAATACGAACATTTAAGGAAAATATATTTCATTAAAATATAAACTAAAAGAACACATTCAATCAGTATAAAACTTATTATTAGAAAAAAGTAGAATATTTCCAAAGACAGGCTGGCATTTATTTAATATTATTATAATAATTAATTTAAGGTTTAGAATAATAAAAATAGTTTGAGAAGAAAAACCAAAAAAAGGTAACTTTATAGTAATTTCTATTTAAGTTTCCAAGCAAAGGATAGCGGAAGAGTGTCTCTATATGTAGCATATCTGGGAAAAGGAAGAGAAAATCCTGCGGGCGTGAGTGTGTTTGTTGGCGATGATGTCTTCAATTAAAATCGTATGGATCCTGATGGTGTCTTTGGCAGCAGCATCATGCGCGTTGAGCCAATCCAAGAAGTTATCAGCGTACGATGTTCTGACGGAGTACGGGTTTCCGGTGGGTCTTCTTCCCAAAGGCGCCATAGGCTATTCGATCAACAGAGAATCCGGTGAGTTCGCAGTGTACTTCGACGGAAGCTGCACCTTCGACATAGAGTCATACTCGCTCAACTACAAGTCAACCATCACGGGAGTAATCACCAACGGTAGGCTCTACAAGCTCAAGGGTGTCACCGTCAAGGTCCTGCTCTTGTGGCTCAACATCGTCGAGGTCACGCGTCAGGGTGACGACATCTATTTCTCCGTCGGCATCGCTTCCGCCGATTTCGGCGTCGACAACTTCCTCGAGAGCCCCCAGTGCGGTTGTGGCTTCGATTGCAACAACCTCCCCCTAAACGGTCACGTTTCTTCCATTTAATTACCCTTTTTTTTCTGCCATTATTCAATCGGGGATTATATTATTCGACTCTCGCTTGCCAATTCTAGATCTATCTATCTATCTATCTTTTATGCTTTTCAACTTAATAATTACTCTACTTTCATCGGGGATTTTTTTCCCCTTCGCATGATTCACCCTAGGGCTTTTCGCCCTTTGTGCTGCCGTTTGCCTCAGAATCCAGAAAATGTCACAGTAGTTGTCATTACTCTATTATTGTCTTGCCCTGTCCACCATCACATGGGACATTTCGCTGGTTTTATTTGTCTTTTTTTTTACTCAAAAAGTAAGAATATCATACCATCATTTGCTATTAATAATAAAGAAAAAGTATATGATATCATAATATTAATATCAAACAATAATTCATGTCATGAAAATTTAGTTTATAAGGCGTGTTAAATGTAGAGTGTAGTTTGTCTTTACTGTGGAGTTTTTTGTTTTGATTGTAACCAAGAATAGTTCGATTGTCGAGCACCGGATTAAAGTGCAATTGTGAATCTATAATCCGTAAGAGGAGGGTGTTGACTATTGAGTCGTGTGATGATCTAAAGTAGAAATTGGTTAGGGAGACCTTAGTTGAGAATTGAGATATTTGACTGGATAGATCATAAATACACCCCTCACTGCGTGGCCTTGGAATAAACCAAAATAAAGAATTGCAACTACTCAACTAGTGGGTTAAGGTATCAGCACCAATTTTACTCTTTACACGGGTCCTCTGGATAATATCCCTATTTTGTATCAAACAGTCAACACCCTCGGTGTAGGCCACTCACACACACCACCAGCTTCAACTCACCTAGAGAAAATTGGTATCAATTTTCAATCAAAATCATCCCCACAAACCAATTCTAGGCTCCATCCTTTTCTTGTTGATCCTCTTCATAACCCATCAATCTCTGCCAAAAGCACCACAACCTCAACTGCATATGATGTCTGACCTTAGTTGACCACGAATAGGAAAGCTGCACCGGCAAATTCAAAAGCGTCCCTAGATGATATTTACACCTGTGCGACAGAATCTTACTAGTTCAAGTGCAAGTCCTACATAATGCGTGTCTTTGGAAAGTACATGATAACCTCGAACATTAAAAGGAACCGAAGCGAAAGAGGTTTTTAAGACAACTCTTTTGTGGATAAACACCGAGACAGTCACTCTCGACGGGGACGAGCTCCAGTTCTCAGTTGGAATCGCTTCTGCGAACTTTGTGGTCGTGGCTTTGACTGTTAGATGATGTTGGGACTTGGGAGTCGTATCATACCAACATGTTAACCTTTTGATTGTTACAGCTAACAGTCAAGTGATTTTGTGTTATCTTCTTAAAGAAAAAACCTAAGTGCAATTTTATAGATATTTTTGGTGTTATTTTTAATCAGAAAAGAAGTTTGACATTGCAACCACACCAAAAACATTAAGCTGTACTTAGAACCAACAAGGTCCACAGCATAATTCTTAAACATGTTGTTTGGAGCTTGAGCATTAACTATGTATTTGAAGAAGACTTCTTTAGAAGAGGTAATGTCTACAACGATATTCTCTTTGTTTCGAATGAAATTACTCTCCCACGATATATCTTTAGTGGAAAAACAAACTGTATTTAAGTTTTCTGCTCCTTAGTTAGGTGTATCTAATTGGCTTGCGATGCTTAGAGAGCTGTAACGGTAAATAAGATTCGTATAGTTATAATTTTTGTCGGATATGTCGGTACCTCTTCAACACCATAACGTGACGTATAGTTGATACTTAATAGGAAAGGGAAAGAAACAACGAATTCAGCAGTTGGGATGAGAAGTCTTAGAACTCTGATTTGTCCTACTTTTAATAATTTAATCTACTCGTTCTTGTATATTAAGGTAACTTTTTGTCATAATTTGTGTGTCCTTAATTTTCAATTGTCAGAATATAATCAAACCTATTTTGGGTTGTATAGCTTGTAAATTGTAATATCTGCAATTTTGTAGTCCTAGCGCCAAGTTGTATAATTGTTTCATTAGAAAGCTAAATACTTTGTTATTTTAAGTCAAAATTAGGTGCAAGTGATAACAAACATGATTCTTGAATAATTTCAGCCAAATAAACCTAAATAAGTTTAGGTAAAAAAAATGTAATGATTTGTCTCGTTTAAGAGCATGTTTGAATTTACATCAAATTTGGTTATATGTGAATCAATAAAAGTAACGATTAATTACGTTTTACCTTAATTTTGATATGATTTTGGAACCAAAATGCACTAACTAATTCTACGTGTGGTTTAATTCAAATAAGTCGAAATTCAATGTGATTTTTACATTACAAGGTTTCATAAAAAAATGTCAGGAATTCATTTTGTTGGTTGAAAATGATAAGTCTAACATCTTATTATTAATTTTCATGATAAAATTCAACCAATAAAAAATAGTGAGTTCAAAAAAGTATCCAAAAGATTGTGCTCTCAATAGTCAATACTCCTCAATTTGATTTTGATCATAATTTCATGTCTTTTAACAAGTATGAAAAATTGTGTATAAAGTATATGATTTATTTTGATCTAAGATATCGATAAAAATTAGTCAATTTAAAAATTCATTATAATTAAGGTCGGTTTAATTGTTGAGAGTCGGAGTGTTATAAAAAAGATTATAAATTCGAATATTGTAATCTGTCATTGTCCCAGAAAAAATATCCAAAGAAACTTTAGGCTATGTTTAGGAAAAATAGCTGAAAAACTAACTAGAAAGCTAGCTTGTAACTAAAGGTTCTTAACTTAGTTTGTTAAGTTATATTTGTTTAAAAAAATTATTTGTTAAAGTAGCTAGTAAATATAAAATGGCATAATATGATATTTTTATATAAATTTTAATTTTATTTTATTGGTAAATTTATATTTTCATATATTATAAATTTTAGTTATTAATTAATTTTAAACTAGTTATTTTTATTTACAGATTAAATGTTTTAATCAAAATTTGTTAGTTCCAATTGTTTTATTTTTTGTATTATGCATTCAACTATTAATCTTATATTATTCTCAAGTAATCACTAATGAAAAGGGTTTGAATAATATATATAATATTAAATTCGAACTTTATTTTTTAATTGCAAGTTTTTCAACTGATAAAAAAAAATATTGTTCTCAACTAAGTTTTAAAAAATTAACATACACTTAAAAAAGATGTCATGTCATACTCATTATGTTGATTAACATAATAGTTAAAATTATCTTGAAGAATAACGTTGAAATAATATAATAAATAACATATATAGTATAATGATTCAAATTATAAAGTGTAAAAAGTAGGGGAAACTAATAAAAAAAAAATCCTTATGTAAAGAAAGAGTAATAAAGAAACTTAATAAATATTTCAAGGGTGAAAAAGGAAATACAATATAAAAAACTAAAAATTAGCCTTTAATTTTTTTATTATTTAATATAGTCCTTATATTTTTTTTTACTTGTTAATTTTTTAAGTAAAATCCTATTTCTATTTACTTATCATTTTTAAATTTCAAAACAACAATAATTAATTTTTTTTATCAATTATACTCTTACACCTACTTAACTTTTAATTAATATATATAATAATTATTATATGTATTGATTATTATAGAATAAAATTGAAAGAAATATAATAAGAAACACCAAAATCGTTATGTATAAAATAAAAAATATATATTATGTTAATTAATTTATACAATATATAAAAAATCTTAAATAACTATTAAAAAATAACGGAGGTTGTATTGATTAACAAATATATATATTTTCTTACAAGGACAGTTAAAAATAGAATATCTATTATATTTATAAGTCACAATTTAACAGTTATTGTTAGTTCTTTTCGTAAATGATTTTTAAAAAGTTTTAAAGCATAAATTTTTGTTTTTTCAGGTTTCACATCAACACCTAATTAGTCATGTTTAATAAAACGTAACTTCTATTTTTTTTCTCTAGCGATGATGAACGTGCCAATACTTTCTTAAAATGGTAAAAGGGTTTAAAAGAAATAAAAAATAATAATAATAAAGGTAATTTTAATGATTTGTTTTACAAATTTAAAATAAAGGGTTAATTTTAACAAAATTACTTATACAAATCTAATAAAAATGACTATAAAATAAAGACAAAATTTTGGTTACTTTCAGGTAGGAAAATATTCCGATCTCAAGTCTAGATATAAATAGAGTCTTGATATTTGAGGTATAATTATTTATTGGCATCACCTCTTGAAAAACTAAAGAAGAAGAGTGACTTAAGTTCGTCATTGATGTTCCAATATTAAGTTATCTAGCATTTTGAAGATTAATAGTTATGAAATATTTTCTATTTATTATCATATTTTTTGTCTTAAAAAAAATTGTCATAGTGGGTTAAGAGATAAAATATCCATAAATTATGTTTTTAGTTTATATCATATTTATTTTTTATTAAAAATATTCATGTTTAAGTTAGATTAAGATTATTATGGATTCATATTCTATATTATTGGTTAAGTTAGAACAATTTCTTACTAGTTTATTCACATAATCTTTGGTGATTATTTAAATATTTAATGTAAAATTTATTTAATCATAAACATCTTATATTTAAAAGTAATTAAAAGTTATAATGTTTTATGGATTTTATATGTTATTGAATGACTATCATTTATTGATTTAAAATATCTAATAAATTATAGGTTAAATTATATTATTGATTTTTTACTTTGGGTTTTAGATTATTTTAATCTTTTATATATTAAAATATTTATTTTAGTTCTTATTTTTTTATATTTGAATTAATTTGGTCATTTTTAAATAATGATTATTTTTAATTTTGTAACATAACTTTGAATTAATTTTTAATTAATTTAAGACGTGAAATTTGTAACATTAAATTTATTTATATAAAAAATTATAAAATACAATTAACGTTTGAATTCAAAATGACTATAAAAATAATAAAAATTATGTAAAAAAGAAATCCAATAAATAATTATAAAATAATATAAAAATATTTTTTTCAAAATTTAAATTTGATCATGTTTATAACACATTTGATTTGAATTTTAATTATATTTAATAATTTTTATATAAATAAATTTTATGAGACAAGTTTCATATTTTGAATTAATAAAAAAATTTAAAATTAAATTAACCTAAATTTAAGAGATAAATGATTAAAAATACCAAAATAAATCTAAAAAATAAAATAAAAAACAAAAATATAATTTAGTGTTAACTATATTCTTCTTATTGAAGTTGTACATTTCTTTAAACAACTTAAATTTATCTTTAAATATGTATCACTTTGGAGAAAAATAGTCATTTTTCAATAACTATACAACCACATTTAATTCTTTTAACTAGAAGAATTTTACTAAAAATCATTTCATCGTAATCATAAAAGTTTATATAGTTATCCTTTTTTAAAATAAAAAATTTAGCTTACAACATAATTAATGTGAAACGAAAATAAAATCTAACAATGACAAAAAGAGAGAAAAGAATTCAGAGAATCTCCTTATTCCCCTCCAAAATAATACTCTGACACAGATGAGTGGATGATCAACAATAATGTTAAAGAAAAGAGTGAGAATAAATGATGAGAGGTTCGAGATGCGAGGCAATCATGCATAATCTAATCTCCATCCAAATCCAATGTAAAATGCCACGTGAACGTGATGAAGATCAACGACCCAAAAGTTATGGACCCTCATCGTAACAAAACGCTGACGTTTCGTACATCTCACGCATACAATTACAAAGCCAGGCTCCAAACCCCAAGAAGTAACAACCGTTTCATTTCAATAATAGATTAGACCATGTCCCTCACCGCTCTCCTCCTCCTCCTCCTCCTCGTTGCGGCGCCCATCGCCGCCACCGCCACCGCCGCACCGACGGCGTACGAGATGCTGGAGAGCTTCCACTTTCCGGAGGGCATTCTGCCTAAAGGAGTCACCGGCTACGAACTGGACCCGGCCACCGGCAAGTTCCGCGCCGATCTGAACGGTTCGTGCAGTTTCGCACTCGAAGGATCGTACCGATTGAGTTACCAGCCAACCATCACCGGCTACATATCCGACGGCAGGCTCACCGAACTCCGCGGCATAAGCGTTAAGGTCCTCTTCTTCTGGCTCAACATCCTCGACGTCGCTCGCGTCGGCGATGACCTCGATTTCTCCGTCGGCGTCGCCTCCGCTTCCTTTCCTCTTGATAACTTCTTCGTCTCTCCGCAGTGCGGTTGCGGCTTGGATTGCAATGATTTACGAATAAGGAAGCTCAATTTGGGAAATCCCTCCGTTTCCTCGGTGTAGAAATTCAATTCAATTCCTTTCGATTCTCATTTAATTATGAGTATGATTATTTAGAGACGCTTGTGTTGTATGATATGGACATGGATACTGCATTTTAAATGGTGATTTTAAGTATATATTATTATAATATAATTTAATAACATGTTATATTTGTTGCTCCCAAGTTCCACCCGAATTGATCCATGGTGTGGACTTTGATATTTTCCTTTTGCTCAGCGTTTGTTCTTGTGATTGAACAATATTCTCCCTTGCCTCTTGGTTATCTGGAAAACCATTAGGGTTTCAGCTTTAGCGTTTGTGAGCAGGACCTGTCTTGTCGTGATGCTATTGTTAGTGATTAGTTTGGGAGTGGAGTTCGCACTTTTATGGTCATAGTTGCGTGGCCTCATTTAAAGAATCTTCAAAAGAAAGTTGTCCATCCTCGTTTTTTAATTCTTAAGTGATGGTTGTATTTTTAAAAGAAATTTTAATGTTAAAGTTAGTTAGTGATCAAAATGTTTTGGTGTTATTTATAAAGTTACCTCCATCATGAAGGTGGATTCCAAATATATTTGTAGATAAAATAGTGTTTTTATTGAAGATTTGGTCATTAAAATATATTTAAAAAAATTTAGTATGTGTAATGGTGAGACATTACTTTTTGTCATGTTTATGAAGTGTTTGTTCAAGTTGGGTATTTCTTGGCCTAATACAAAACTATCCAACTTGACCTAGCATTGTTGTTTGTCTCTCTATGGTAGAGGTTAACAATATCAAGGTCTCAAGACTTATCCAATACATGTACTCATTGCTAGATATGTTAGGTTTTTTTAAGGATTGTTGAATGATCATCTTATATTGGTCGGGTCATCTAGTGCTTGTTAGTTTAGAAAAGATGTTAGCCTTAATATTTTTCTCCCCAGGTATATGCTTAATTCGGTATTTCGAGAAGTCAATTTTTAATTTGTTAACCACATGATAATATTGTTGAACATCTTTGGTTTGATACTCATCTTTTAGTTGTCTAGCTGCCAATTGAGAATCACTCTTACATCATAAGCGCTCAACACTCATTTCCAATACTAACTTCATTCTCGCAATAAGGGCCCATACTCCTCTTGGTTATTCGAGACCTAGAACTCGAACTAAAGGGACTATTTAATGATCAAGTCTCTTGGTTCTTCCAAAAGGATTTTGGCTCCACTTTCCTTCTTTCTAAATGCACTATTAACAAATAATGTCCATACCTAATCTTGTAAAGGTTCGATAGCCATTTCATTTATGAAGTCAGTCAAGCATTACGCTTATATTAGACCTCTCAATTAATTGGTAAGGCCAAACTTCAACAACTCCATGGACCAAACGATCATCCTTCCTACAAGTATCGGCTTCCTCAAGATTTTAGCTATAGGATAGTCGGTCTTGATAATCACTTGATAACTTAAGAAATACGACCTCAGTCTCCCAACTGCCATCACTAAAGCCAAAGCTAAAATCTTTACCTTTTGATACGTTTGCTTGACTCCTTACAATACACAGCTGATGTAGTATATAGGCACATGTCCTCATTCCCTCTCTAAGGAAATGACTACACTTATTGACTCATTCAAAGTGGACAAATAAAGTAGAAGGTTAGGTCCTAACTAGGCTTTCCCAAGATTGGTGTTTCCAACAAGATCTCCTTTAATCCTTAGAAAGCAACTTTGCACTTCAGTGTCCTTTCAAAGACTTTCTTCTTCTACAACAAAGTAAATATTGGTTTTACCTTCTCAGCCAAGCATGGCAGGAAGCGGGAAAGGGAAGCAAGTTTGCATGTAAGTCGTTGGACTTCTTTCAAGTTTCTTAAGCTCTTCATATTGAGGATTACGCAAATCTTATTAAGATTAGCTTCGATGCCCCTTACAGTTAACATGAAGCCTAAAAACTTGCCTTCATCTACACCAAATACACACTTCCCAAGATTTAAGTATATATTATGTTTTCTTACCCCTTAGAATACCTCAACAAGACCATTTATGTGCTCGACCATGTTGTTTGACTTGACCATCACAACATCCACATATACTTCCAAATTTCTCCCAATTTGTTTTTGGAAGAATTTATCCATCAACCATTGATAAGTAACCCCAACATTCTTAAGTTTGAAGGGTACAACATGATAACAAAAATTAGCTTCTTGAGTGATAAAGGTGGTTTTCACCTTGTCCAAAAGGTACATAAGAATTTGGTTATATCTCAAGTATGCATCCAAGAAACTCAATACTTAGTGCACGACAGTCTCATCCACAAGTCGATCGATACTTGGTAATGGGTAAGTGTCTTTAGGCATATTTTCCATTTATCATTATTCTTCTTTACTAGAACCACATAGAACCACATAGGCCAACCTAGTGATATATCATACCTCCTGTATAAAACCTATCTTCAATAGCTTAAACACATCGGTTTTCATGGCTAGTCTTCATTCTTCATCCATTTTTCTTTTATTCTAAGATATTAGCCAGGCCTCACGATAAATTGATAAGTGATGATAATGAAAAGTGGGATCAATTTTCAGCATACCATATGTCGACCATGTAATACCCATTTTTTTTATTATTAATTATCAATGGCAATAATTAACATGCTCATTCATAGAATATCCCTACTTTATCTTTAATTACCTATCACTGTAACACCTTCTACCCCATTATTAATATACAACAAATGTAACAATAAAATATTTCTTTTCTTCTTTTTGAGTAAATAAAATCTTTCATAGTTGACAAATATTTCAAATATAACAAGGTAGAAGATTCACATTCGTAACTCATAAATCATAACTCCAGTGTAAAAATTATAAAAGAAAAGAAGTTAAGATTTTCAATACAATTTAGTGTAAAACAAGAAATCATATATATACAAATAATAATAAAGGAAATATAAATTAACTCCAGTAAAGGTGGCAGTGCCTCCT